AGTGTACAAACCAGGTGCGCACCACCAGGTGCACATCCATTCGATTTTGCCAGATGCACGTGCCACAGCTCCAGCTTCAGCTACAGCTAAAGCTTCAGCTCCAGCAGCTTATGCTTTGTCTCCAGCGCTGCTGTTGCGTGGGGGATTTGGGGCAGCCAGCGTCACATCGCAAGTGCGATCAAAGTTTAGCGGATTTGGTGGCGCACATTTTAAAGCTTGTCAAACGTGGCCATAAATAAACGAGCCAATGAGAACTGGGACACACACACAGTTGGGTTTCGCTTGAGCAGTTCCCGCTGCTGTGGCCCGTCTTTATTATGGGACGACTCGAAGCTGAATGGCTGGCAGGTAAATAACACTTAACAGTAATGACAGCCACCAACTTAAGTTCCATTCAGCATTAAATGTCTTTCAACTGTCAAAATGGGCAATGAGCTGCCATTTGCGCTGCAGCGCAACAGTCAACGGGGAGGAAAACACTTTGAATGTCCCTTAAAAGCAGCTTAACAATTTTCTCTCTTGCTTACAGCTAAAAACAAAACTTAACAAATTTCACACAAGTTTTTGTGCAATTTTCATTTAAATGCGATTTCTTTAACGCCTTTGAAAATATAAACTGCAGGCATTTTGTGGTCCTTTATTATTATTTTTATTATTAAATTGCCAGAAGGCTGCAAATATCAATTACACTTCAGATATTTCATTAAAGAAACAATGCAAAATAAATTTAATTTAATTTTAAATTGAGATGAAGTCAGCAAATCAAATCATTTTCACAATCAACAGAAATTTGAATAAATTTAAAACTTCTTGGCTAGAACATGAGACGCTTTCACAGGAAGCCAGTTTACATTAACAACTGCATCACTTAACAATTGCAATCGAGTGTAAAAAAGCCTAGGAATTCACAAAAAGGCTGTCTAGCGATTACACTAATAATAATAATTATATTCAAAATATTACTAGAAATAAGAATAGAATAGAATCATAATAAATATAATAAAGTCTACATCAGCCGTGTGAAAAGCGCCACAGGTTATAGATTTATATAAAAATGCATTTCTGATTAACAGGGTCGAAACAGAGTTTTGGCTATCGCTATTAGTCAATATATATATATATATATATATATATATATATATATATATATATATATATGTATGTTTATATTTTTTGTACGTGTCGAACTTGATGGATCATCGCGTGCCAAAGATTTTCGAAGCAAGTTTTCAACACCTCAAAGCAACAATTCTCCGTTGCCGACAACTTTTCCAACTTTGTAGGCAAATAAATGTGTATATATATATTTGTGTGCGTGTGTGTGTGTGTGTGTGTGTGTATTACATTTTTCTTGACTGTCGTCAGCGGTTTCTGGTATTTATGCGCCCCCTGGCATTGCCGTGCGTCCATAAAGCTCTTGCGAGCCGTTATAAATATATATATTTACCGTTCAGTCGGGGCTAACCGAGTGGTACCCATGATGTGGCGGCTCCTGGTGCTGGTGCCCGGAAATGCATTTTAAATGTCGAGCATGGCGTAAATAACCCGTTAATGTTAACATGCACACGGCGGCGGGCAACAGCACACGGCAATGCGTTGCCTTAATTTATGTGTCACGGCAATGGCGACAACACAAGGACGCTGCGACGGCCGAGAACTATTTCATTTCGTTTCATTTCATTTCGTTCCATTCGACTCGATTCGATTTTCAGTGCGACCTGGCAAAACTTTGACAGCCACTTGGCACCTTGGAACTTTTGCCGTGCCTTGGCCCCGCCCCCCAAGCCACAGGCTGCAACCTTTGCATGGAGAATAAGTTGAACTGCACTAAAAGATACCCTCTACAGAACGTCGAATTGCTGTCATAAATTCTTAAATTTATTTAATAACAGGGAGAGGTTTTATTTTATATATTTATATTTTTTGGGCAATCAGGGGGGGAGTTTTCCGAAAAATTATATATTCTGGCTCTGTATATACAAAAGTATCTCTAATAATCGCTGAGTCGTGCATAGGAAATAAGTCTCGAATGCGAAATCACGAAAATATGGGGAGATAAATATATAAGAGAATAAACCCTCATTGTGTATGATATATAAATTATATTCATATGGTTTATCTCTAGCGATTCTACGAGCCATGCTGACAAAACTTTGTTTCAAAATCAATATTTATCGATAATATTAAGATTAAGGTATATATCGATATAATTTAATTGATACTTATCGATAATATGAATATTGAAGGACATATCGATAACATCAATGATACATCCGTTCTTCGTACAATTAATTATTTTAAACGTAGTCAACTTCATCTTGTTTCCGAGATCGAAACGTTTATATAGGCCAATCGATCTTATCACAGAAACCAGGGAAGAAGATTGAATTCTGATTTTTAAGATTTGCTGTAGTATAAAAATGTTACCGCTTAAGAATTTATCATATTTCTAAATTCTCAACATATTAAAGAGAGAAACAGAGCTGATGCTGATCTCGTATATAAATACTCCATGATACCTTTATCCGCCAAATAAACAGTATACCCCCCTTCTATCCAATTTCCAATGGGTACAGGGTATAAAAACACACACACACACGCGCACATACAAACACAAACACAAACTCGAAAAGTTCAGTAGTTGGCCAAAAGTCACTTGGCATGCATATAAATTGTCAGCCATTAAATTTGCATTGACATTTTGGCCGTGCAGCAGCATCGCCCCGACCCCGCCCACCCCCCCATAAACCAACCGTTGTGCGCCCCTGCGCTCCGTGGCCTGCTACTCCCACTCTTGGTTTAGTTTTTAGCTTGGTGATTTATTTGTGCGCTCTTTGATTGCATGACCGGAGCCATCGAGAGCAGCCGAAGAAGGAGGTGGAGCAGCTTCACCCTGCCGAGTTGTTTGCCATGTTTTGATGCTTGTTTTTATTGAATTTGCTGAATTAATTTGGCTGCAGCATCATCAGATGACGGCAAAAAGAAAAAAAAAAAACAACAACAGCAACAACAAAAAGAAAACAAGAAGCAGGCGAAAAAAGAATTGGCCAACGTTGATTAAACTTGGCTTGGCATTGACAGGCGGCAGCCCAGTTGAGGTCCAACCAGTCCACTTCAGATCCATCTCTACATTTGGCCCTGCTGTGGACATCTTTTCAGATGCTCCACAACGATTCACTCTTGGCCAGCAATTAGCCTAATACCAACGACCGAGTTGGCTTTTAGCCTTATTGAGCCACCACGTGGATGACTATGACATTCCCGTTGGCATCCGGACACCCGCTCTTTGGCCCCAGCGCTTGCCTTATCATTATGAAAAGGCGGCTCCAACGTCGGCCGACCCAATGCAAACGACGTGCAAAACTGCTGGCAGATTCGATGGCTACTTCAACGATTTCTCTTTGGGATTTATGCAATCACAACTAGCGACGAAGGGGAGCGTGCACCTGGCGAGGTACCAGCTGGAAAGCTAAGCAAACCACAAAGCACAGTTGTTATGACAGGTGTATTTAAATCTGTTTCAAGCAAACCTCGTCTGAAATAATGCAAGTTTTTCCAACGATTGAACTTCCATGGAGAAAATATAAAGTTTTGCATTTGACTGATTGACTGACTGATGAAGTTACTGACTGGCAGAGTAATAGACAGACTGGCTTCCGAAGTAACTGGTAGGTAGACTAGTTAAATAACTGAATGATTAAATATATGGCTTACTCATCCACTGATTGACTGACTGACTGATTGACAAACTGGCGGTCGATGTAACTTGCTGACAAACTGATTGACTGAATAAATGATTTAATGTCTGAGTCACTCACTGATTAATTTACTGATTGAATTACCGATTGACTGACTGACTGATTGGCAGACTAACTACCGAAGTAACTGGCTGGCAGATTGATTGACTGACTGAATGTTTTAATGTTGATTGACTGACGGAGTGATTGACTGGCTGACTGAGTGATTGACAGATTGGCTGACGAACTAGTCAGCTGGCAAACGAATGGACTGATTGACATACTGACTGATTTAGTGGCTAACAGTGATTGACTGACTCAATGACTAACTGAATGACAGACTGACTAACTAGCTAACTAACTGGCAGACAGTCTAAATGGCTGACTAATTCTATGTACGACTTACTCATTGAATGATTGACTGGCAGAGCTTAACTGAGGCAGGTTGACAGAATATTTGTGCTACAAGTACAAACATTTGACTGATTTAATGTATGACTAACTTATTGACTGACAGACTGATTGACTAGCTGGCTAACTGACTGACTCACTGATTGATTGATTGACTGATTGGCTGGAAAAACTATTGACTGATTAAATATCAGACTTACTCACTGACTGATTGACTGGCAGTCAGTAAATAAGTAATTAAATAAGATAGGTTTAAAGAAAACTTCTGCTACAAAAAACATCCGCCCTTTTTACAAAAGTGCAACCTTATGATAAAAAAAAAAAAAACTTACCGTTCCATGAGCGAAAACCAAAGAAAAAAACAAAGAAAATGTTAAATTTTTTTTAAGAGCCTTTTAAACGTATTAATGATAATATGTTTCAGCGATTTGGGAAAAGCCAGCACATGTAAAACTGTTGAAAGGATGAATGAGAGAACCACGTTCGAGTCGTCATTAACTGTTTTCCTGCTGCGGTTCGCGCCGAATAAGAGCGCAGAAAAAACACAACATGCGGAAAAAGAAACTAGCTTTCAACTCATTTCATGCAAGCTAATTATTTGAATATTATTATCGTACCTTGTCACTTAAAAACAAAAACAAAAAAACAAAATGCATTCAATAAGAAAAACTGTCCGAAAAAAATGTACAACTTTTTCCAGCCAATTCAATTTGTTTGCTCACTTTTCAATCGACCATTGAGAACATTTGAATGCCATTACTGGGTGTGTTTGTATGTTTTATTGCGAGAATATTAAAGAAAGAAAATAGTGAAAAACATTTTCATTATGATTTTCATCTGAGCGTCTCCTGCTCAGTGGTGTCCATGATCGTGTTCGCTGCTCTTCTTTTGCGATTTGTGCCACTTCTTTTTGTGCTCCTCGCCACCCTTTTTGCCATGCTCCTTTTTGTGGCCCCATTTTTTGGACTCGTCGTGCTTCTTCTTGTGTCCCTGATGGCCCTTTTTCTTGTGGCCCTTTTTGCTGTGACCCTTTTTGCCATAGTGCTCCTCATGGCCGCCCTTTTTGTGCTCGCCCTTTTTATAGCTGCTGCCCTTTTTGTGCTTCTTGCCCTCCTCATAGCCGCCGTGCTTCTCCTCGCCGCCCTCGACATGATCCTCATCATAGTATTTCTTTTCCTTTTTGTCCTCGTTTAGCTTGTGCACGTTGTGCTTGCCCTTGATGGAGTGTCCCTTTTTGTAGCTGCCGTGATCCTCGAACTCGCTGCCCTTTTCACCCTTTTCGCCCTTTTTCTTTTTCTTATGATGACTCTCGGAGTGTTTGTGTTTCTTTTCGTGACCCTCCTCCTCGCCGTGCTCACCCTTTTTGCCCTCCTTGTCGTGATGGCCCTTCTCGCCCTTCTCATGGTGTTCGCCATGTTTGTGACCCTTTTTGCTCTTCTCCCCATGCTTCTTGTAGTGTTCGCTGTGCTTTTTCTCACCGGACTCCGCCTCGCCCTCCTCCTCGTGCTCTTCGTGCTTCTTGGATTCAGCCGTCTGCAGGTCATTCAAGTGGGCGTGGAAATCGGCCAAGTCAGAACTAGCCAACGGCTCGCCTATTACCATGGCATTGTCCTGGCTATATGTGTATGGCAGGGTTGCCGCCATCGCCATTGCCGCCACCGCCGCAAGCGTTGCCAGGCATGCCAGTTGCCAGGGTATCCTGTTTGGCCTCGCCGCCATAACGCCTAGTCGTTATCCTTTAAGGCTTTGAGCTGCTGCTGATGCTGCTGCTGGTGTTGGTGTTGCCGCCACGCCTTGTTGTCGTTGTCTGGTGAACTGTTTGTCAGCAGCGTTCGCTTTTTATGCGCCCACCCTGCGGCCACGCCTCACTAGAGGCCAGTTATTGCTGCTTGGCGTCTCTGCGGCTGATTTGGCAACATTTTCTTTGGGGCGCCCTCAACGCCAGTCGCCGCCTAAGTGCATAACGTTGTTTCCAAGCTTAACGCAACAACAACAGCAACAAAATAAAAAACCCTTCCAACAAATGGCCAACTTCTTGCGGTTTTCAGAGCTTGCTTGGTGCCGCAGTTGCCACTTTTTGTTGGCCAGAAAACAAGCGACTTTTGTTACGTGCACATTGCAAAAGCATTTCAGCAAATGACCAGAAGATCGACAAGCCAGAGCCGCTGCACAGTGCCACAAGATTATCAACTGACAGTGGTTATTGCATTTGAAATCGATTTTAAATGCTACAGCAAATAAGAGAGTAAAGAAGAAAATAAGAAGAAAAGAATATCTTTGGCACAGAAAAATAAATATAGACAAATGGCTTGGAAATGCTAGCAAGCCCGTGGACTGATTGACTGACTGATTGACTGACTGACTGCCGACTGACTAACTGGGACAACACTAACATGTAAGGATAAAGACGTCTTATAAATATAAGAAGAAAAGCACGCTAAATACACACAAATGACTTCGAAATGCCCTTTAAAGGAAAACTTTATTTTCTGACTAATTTTACTATATAAGTCATAATTAAAGTAATTCGTTCTGCCTCGGCTCTGCGGATATCTGGGAAGATTGGGAAACTCATAATTCCTATGCTAGCTCAAGATATATTGAGAATTAATAAAATATACAATACAAAAACTTATATAAGAATCCGATGTTGATCACATTTTGCTCGTATGAAACTTGCAAAGGCCAAGAGATATCTCGAAAAATAAAATGGTATTCACGAATTTTCAAAAGAACCTTTCTATGACTATATATAATATTGAGTTTTATTCCGGTTAATTCTGTCTACAGACAGATAGACGAACCGATGCGAAGTTTCGTATAGAAAGCTTTAAGCCAGGGAAAAAAGCTTGCATAAGACAAAAGAACAAATGTGAACAGGTGAGCAGAGTTTCCTCACGGGCTGGTGAAGATTAATATCATTGCTGACATATAGCAATGCTTTATATAATATTCAAATCTCTAAAGAACGAAGCTCTTTATAAGTCAATTCCCAAGAAATTTTAAGCAATGCTGTGTAATATAAAATTGATTGGTTCTTTTTACAATTGAATATTGATCAATTACCACAAGAAAATGATAAACCCTTAAAATTACGTGCCATATCCACCTTTTACCCAAACACCCAAAATTTAAGTTTCATTCCATATTCAAAAGTTCAAAGCTCAATTGGCGGTCGCTGCCGTTGACGTTGCCGGTCGATTGTTGGCGTTAGAGTTGCTCTCGCTGTTGCCGGCTCTGTCTCTGTCTCAGTCGACGTCGCCGTCGCCGTCGCCGTCGACGTTGCCACCTGCATTGTCCTAATTGCTAAAGGGGCTGGACAGACAAATGAAATATGAATGTGTGCTAGGGCGCACACACGCACACACACTGGGCCGTGTCAAAGGTTAATTACGCATGCTGCAGCTCGTTCGTTCGCCTGCCCCGTCCCCCAGCCACGCCTTGCCTCGTTTCGTCTCCGGTTTCCTTTGTTGCTTGCTTTGCTTCGTCCTTGGGCTGCTACGTAAATCGCTTAACGCACACACGCACATACACACACACACACACAGAGATTTCGCACACACAGTGGCCTTTTGTGTGTGCGTGTGTTTGCTTAAGCCATTTCCGGTTCGATTTTACCCATGCAGGGCTCGCTCGCTTGGTAAGGCAAACAGCGGGCAGCCGGGCCGAATGAAAGGACAAACATCTTTGTTTGGTTTCATATGCTAATCCTTCGAGCTGCGTCATAAATCATCCTTGTCCATGCGACACGGACAGCGGCAGAGAGACAGAGACAGAGACAGTTTCTCAATCAGGGATCAAGGCGGCGAGCTCTTTGCTGCCTAAAAGCTTCGCTTTTGTATTATTGCCGGCTGAGCAACGCTGCAATCTGCCGGGATTTGCGGTGGCTGCTGCAATGCCCAAAACAAAAGCAATAACAACCACATGAATATATAACAAAAGCATCCAGACCAGACATCAGACATCAGACATCACCTAGCAGCTTTCAGGCCACTGTCTCTGCAGCGAGCAGACCAACTTGCAGTCAGGCATTGAAAAGTGTTTTTGTTTAATATGCGACTGGCAACTGCTCTTCAGTGTGTGTGTGTGTGTGTGTGTGTGTGTCCGCCCAGGTGAGCAGTCAACAGTTCAAGCCCCTCACAAGTCCTTTAGCTGTGCTTGTTGATATTGTTTTGAAATTGCCTCGTCGACAACAACAACAGCCCCACAATCCCACATGGCCAGTGGGCAAATGCATTAACGAAAGTGCTTGGGGGCAGAAGACGTAGCTGGTGCAGCAACAAGAGCAAAGGTGATGGCTAAGTGCAGCTGCAACAGAGTCCTGCCTCGCCGTGGCCCGGTATCAGCACTAGGAGATCATAATTCACATAACTCGGCTAATAATTCAGTTAAGTTGAAATGCTGCAGCTGCAGCAGCAGCACCTACACACACACACGCACACTCTCTTTCTCTCACACACACAATCACACTCATGAACAGCCATGAAATTTGACTGTTGTTGTTGCTCAAACCTCGATTGCAATTCAATGTGATGCCATGCATGTGCTGCACAGCCCTTTGGAACCATTTCAGAATTATTGGAACAAGTCAAGCATGGCTTCAAATTGTATCCTAGTACAGGGTATTATAATTTCGTGCTGAAGTGTCTAACGCCTAGGAGACATATTCATAGAAAGTATATATATTCTAGATCAGCATTTAGCCACTTCCATCTGTCAGTACGTGCGTCTGTTTATATGCAAACTAATCTATCAAATTTAAAGCTATCGTCTTGAAGACCCGTCTTTCGGTTGCAGGCAGTAGTCCATATGTCGGAACCGACCGGATCGGACCACTATATCATATAGTTGCCATAGAAAAGTAGCTTCTGATATGAAAACCCTTTTTTATTAAGGTTACTTGAACCAACTCGGGATTAAAGATCCTATACCAAATCTTAAGATCATCGGACTAGTTAAAAGTAGATCCATAAAACTATTCTGTTTTCCAAGATATTTTCAACAAACTCAGAATTGAGAAGCTTCACTATTCTCACATATTTGCTAAATGGTTCTGTCTCCAAGGCATAAAAAAAAAAACCTAAAAAAATTTGGGATAACTAAACAGTTTTCTTACTAAAATTGTAAGAAAACAAAACATTTCAAAACAACGTTTTTATTTTTTAAGGAATGAAAAATAAAATCCTTTATAAAATATAACTGAGATAGATTTTTGTCCTATTTAAAATTTAACGACAAATATCAAAAATAAACAAACTGTATATCCCGATGTTGTGGCCATTTAATAAAAATTCAATAAAATTCTGAATAAATAAAATCTAAAAAATAAAATCTAAAATTTGGAGGCTACAGTAACAAAAATAATGCTGGCGTGCTTACATTCTGTTGTAATGCGGCAGAGTGTAAATATAACAATTTAATGAACATTATTAATTAAATTTAAGAACCAATTTGCTGGCCAAATTTAATCAACTTCTGGCTCTTTCAGGCTGATTTTTCCGGTAGAAAAAAGAATTTATTAAAAAAAAAGAAGAAATTAAATAAAATAGTTCTGCAAGCAGATGTCTGCCTGCTGTGTGTTAGTCCATTTGGGATTTGTTCATTACCTTGCTCGGTGCAGGCTCAGCTCCTCAGTCCCCCCCCCCCTTCACCCCTCCCTTCCACAAGCTGCCCTGCTGTGGCTTGGGCACGGCTGCAGCAGCAGTTTTAAAGGATTTTCAATGTTCTTGCAAATTAGTTTAATCCTGTGTGTCAGTGTGTTTCTGTATGTGTGTGTGTGTGTGTGTATGAAAAAGTTTATTGTTTTCGGGGCAAAAAGTTGCTGCAGCTTTCGGATGATGCTGAAGCTGATGCAGAAGCTGATGCTGTTGTTTGTTGCTGCTGCTGTTTGTTGTTTGCGGTGGCTTGAGTGCATTTTGCCCAGCTTAAGCCTGAGTGTACATGTGTCTGTGTGTGTGTGTGTGCGTGTGTAGTTTGTGTGCGTTCCTGGACATTTTTGCAAATTACCAAACACATTTCAAATCTTCTGCTGCTGCAGCTGAGTGCATAAAAGTTGCATTTTTAATTTGATATACATTTTGCTATTACCCAGCATCATGCTTAAAACTTGAAAAGTCCTTGCGAAAAATGGAAATTAGCTGCGGAGGGGGGTGGCTGGGGGGCTGGTAGGAAAATTAGGCGGCGCACTTGAAGCAATTAGCGCAGGCTCGTAAATATGCCACAGCGCGGCTCAATGAATCAATGAATGTGTCAATGATTAGGCAACGAGACACCGGATGGCACCAGGATACAGGACAATGGCAATTGATAGCGCAAATGTAAATATTGCACTTAGGCAAAGGACCCACAGCAGCAGCAGCAGCAGCCGTGGCAGCGGTCCCCAATGGACCCGCAATAACAGGCTAATGCAACTGCAATGTGTGGCATGTATCGGGCAGGGGGCAGCTGCTGTGTGGCATGGCGTGCTATAATCAAGCGCATGGATGCCACACACACACACAGAGAGAGAGAGAGAGAGGGGGGGAGCTCGCCCATTGCAGTTAATTTATTGTGACCAATATAACGCCCCAGGATATAGGCAAGGAGCAGCACGCAGACAATGCTGCGACTCCTTCTCCGGGGCTACGTAGGGCGCATGTAAATTGAAAATTATGGCAATGCGCAACAAGATTAGCCCAGACAGGGTACAAACCCCACACCCCTGCCCGCCCAGTCAACCA